TCAAAGTTTTGGGGTGTGGACCATCGGGGGTAGTCCGTTCCTGACTTTGTAGCAAAACAACTGACTCCTGCATGAAAGCTCATCGACGGAATTCATTTGTTTAGTCAATTACCAAAATTTGGATGATTTTGAATATTCACTTGAAAAGTTATCAAAGAAAAACATTTTTCATTTTGTAACTTCGAGGGCCCGTAACTTGGTTACGAAGACTTTTAGGAAAAAAAGTTATATGAAGTACTGGTGATATTTTGACCCCATCTATACATTCCCGAGAAGAAAAGAGGAAGTCCAGGGACACCCTGTATAGTAAAAAAAACTTGTAATATTCAAAATGATTTTATTCATCACATTTATATCTATTAATGCAATTATTTAATTATTAGCGTTCGTTGTGATAGGTGGCACCATAACCAATGGAATGTATTATTGAATAACGTTACCATAGATTTCTAGGCTCCTTATCCGATCTTCACTCTCCAATCTGTTACTTGCAGTGTGAAGCTGAAAACCTCCAATCTTTCGTCATTGACAATGAATGACATCACAAATCCTTGGGATATTTTGTGTCATATGACCTCGATATATGAACACAACTTTGCGTGTCTCATGACCTTGTATTATGATCACGTCATATAATCTCAGACATGACGTTTTAAACCTGCAATCATTCGAGTTTAACATTGAATGACATCACAAGTCGCTGAGATATTTATATCTCATATGACCTTGTGTTATGAAATGTCATATACCCTCCGACATGGAGTTTTGGCCCTGGTTTTACTTGATTCATGATGAGGGAACAAGTAGTCAGTTACTTGCAGTGTGAAGCTGAAAACCTCCAATCTTTCGACATTGACAATGAATGACATCACAAATCCTTGGGATATTTGTGTCACATGACCTCGATATATGAACACAACTTTGCGTGTCTCATGACCTTGTATTATGATCACGTCATATAATCTCAGACATGAAGTTTTGAACCTCCAATCATTCGAGTTTAACATTGAATGACATCACAAGTCGCTGAGATATTTATATCTCATACGACCTTGTGTTATGAAATGTCATATACCCTCTGACATGGAGTTTTGGCCGTACGATTGACTTTGTCTTCGACAGATAACTTTTGAATGTAATGAATGATAATCTCATTCTCTTTTCTGAAAAATATCCATTGATTTGACTTCATCTGAGTCATCCATCTCAATATAGGATGTAGAATTTTTTGAACTGTGGCATTGACGACCTTTCATAATCAATGCTTCTATATTCCGTTTCGAATCCATTGTGAACGTGATACATCTCTAAAAATTTGTCTCTCCTGGATCTCATAAATGAAAACCAATCGTGTGATTTCTCGAAGTCAATCGTTGGGGGCGGTGTGCTTCCCTGACTAACATCCTCGTATTCAGGAACCTGTGGAATAAAAGGATATGATGAACTAACATCTTGTCGCGTTTGAGTAATGATAATTACCTGTTGGAGTGATGTAGAAGGTCCTGCTATGACTTCCATCTCTCTCACTTTTATCGACTTGTCGATATCCCTTTTTTCATGTTTCATCTTGTGCCTCCTTCTAGATGGCGACTTCGAACTAGACTTTTCAGACTTCTTCGCCTTCTTCATTATCTTTTCTTCACTCTCCCTTTTTTTCTTTTACGTCTCTCAATGTCATCATCCGAACTGTTCTGATTGATTGAACTATGTGGAGATCCCATATTCTTCGAATACGTTTCCTCCATCTCTAATATATTACTCACAACAGTTTGTGATAAGTTCGGAAGTGACTCATCAAGATTCTGGGTGTGAGTCGCCATCACATTATCAATGTTTGAGGGATTGTCATTCATCTCCACATGGTTTGGATTGAATCCATTTAAAAATGATTTAGCATTGTGCATCTGCTGAATGGAAGTCATCACCGGTTGTGGTATCTCCCCGCCTTCNATTATTACGGAACCCTCCTTTTTCTATATCACCTGGTTGGCCTGATTTCAATTGGTGACTCTGAGGAGACGGTTCCCACACTTTCTGACCAATCTAAATACCCTCTCTACAGTTCGGGAGCGGTTATACTGGAGATGATTATTGGGTAATTCGAAACGTCATAATTGTGTAATAAAAGCTTGATTCACTTGTTCAGAATCGAGCGGTAGTTCCTGAACAAGCGAGTTTGTGGATAACTAAGTGTTAAATTACGAACCTACAGAAACACATGGCGACAACATTTTATTTAAAACTATAACTAAAGAACAACATAGACATTGATGGATGCTAAGCACCAATTTCGCAATTCAGTTTATTACATAAAACGCTTTCAGCTGAATATTTATCTCTACCAATATAATGCGTGGATTTTACTCCTAACCGCTGATAACTCTATTATGATCAACGAATACGCCAGTTTGATCCCTTTTGATAACTCAGGACAGGGTTGAAACCAAAATATTATCATTTCTTCAATATTTCAGACATACATAGTTCATTTGATAATAGCAGGAGGTAAGATTACGATAGGTTTACCTGTCGATAAAATACTAATAACCTTACAATTTTTACAATAACTGTTGAGACAGTAGAGCACATAGTAACATGTAATTAGCGTTATCTAGATATAAAATCAACCATATAAAAAATACAATTCCTTTCAATTGAGCCATAACATCACAGTAACCAGGCAATTTTAGACATTTCTGGTTAGCTTTTATTAAATTAATAACAAACATTGGGCTATGGCAGAAAACATACTAGGTCAGAATTCACAATATAACACATGGTACAAATATTCATAATACTCATCTATAAAAACACTTTAAGATCAATAGACGACATTTTCAAACAGGGGAATTAGCATGCATAGACAGATAAACATTTCAAACATAAGTCAATAAAACCGAGATCCTGGGTTATCATAATTATAGGTAATCAGTTCGTAAAGGACACAAGATTATAATTTGCGGTAATCAAACATTTCAGAGATTACGGAGATTAACGTATTATGAGTTTACTCGTAGAATTCGCACATTGATTAATCAGCGTCCACTATTTCGGATTTTTCTTATTGCAAGATCATATTGAAAACTTTCTCATTCGAATGCAATAATCTTCTGTTTAATATTAGGCCACCAACTTTCGGACAGCTAACGTTAATTAAATTCACTGGAGATACTACTTTTAGCGTGCTAATTTGGACATTCAAATTTTCAAAACTGGCACTGTGTTTCACATTGTTACGCACTGCTTGAGTTTCACTAATATCGAAGAACTTTACTATTTCGCGAATTACTGAAGCACATCGTTTTGACTTTCAGAACTTGAATGAATCTTTTTGCTAGTTGGAGCTTCTTTTATATCCGGCTTATCGCGCAAACAATTGGCCACCTGAGATCGTAAATGTCAATCGTTCATTAATCTCGCGGCGAAATTATATGTTTTCACTAATTTAAAGCTCATTACCCTTTGTCGGACCGATATCGCTTAACAGCTCCCGTAATTTATAATCCTATTTGGGTGACTTTCGTCGGCATGTTATTTCCTTCAATTTGTTTAAATTGATATTATGGGAATTTCGGCTCTTTCGTTAATTAACTGCAGCGCGCGCAACTTTCGATGATTCAGTTGCTCTCGGCGCATTACACCATACATAATACTGATATTAAAAGCCTATAAATTTCATCCGTACAAAATCAAATTAGTACAGGAACTCAATGTAGATGATTCTGATAGAAGGCTGGAATTTTGTGAACAACTGAGCCAGCTACTAATTGATGATCCGCAACTATCATTCAACACGTGCTTTTCCGATGAGAGTACTTTCCGATGAGAGTACTTTCCGATGAGAGTACTTTTTTAATGGAGCTGTGAATAGGCATAATTGCCGTTACTGGGATGACAGTAACCCACACTCATTCCGAGAGGTCCATACCCAGTACCCTCAAAAAATCAATGTCTGGTGTGGCATATTAGGTAGTCATATCGTAGAGCCACTTTTTATTCCTGGGAATTTAACTGGTGAGGTCTACCTGAACAAGCTTGAAGATACAATTGATTCTCTCATAACAGAAATAATTGAAAATGACCAAAATCATAATGATGATCGGCTTCATATCCAGCAAGATGGAGCACCTCCTCACTATGCTGCTCCGGTAAGAGAGTTTTTAGATGACCGGTTTCCTGGACGATGGATTGGCCCCATCGAATGGCCTGCCAGGTCACCTGATTTATCTCCTTTAGACTTTTTCCTTTGGGGACACTTGAAAAATAAATATTTTGCTACGCAGCCCGAGTTCATAGAAGAACTTCGCTAACGAATTACAGCAGAGTAATGGCTGTGAGGGTACTTCATGTGGACATAATGCTTGTTTCATTTGGGATTTTCTGTATCTCATACATATAGAAATATTACCTATGAAGTGGTTGATATTCCTACTCAGTGTTGGCAAAAAAACATATCTACTGCATAATTTTTTGTTTTTTAGCGGCCCTGATGACTGTAATGCAATTTATGCAAAGTTACATTCACTAATTTTTTAGGAATAACAATCCTTATGCCTCCCTGCACATCTGGCAAAAATAGGCATTGATTTGAATCCATTATCCTCTTGTGACAATTTTTCTTTAGCGGATATAAATCACATCCTATTCACATGTTCCAACTTCGAAATGTTCAGGACGGATTTCTTAAATAATTTACTTTTCTCGAATGTTTCGTTTCCAACTGATATAACAGTGCTTTTAGCTACACTAAATGAAAATATATACAACACAATTCTAAAATTTATAATTAAATCTAAAATATCAATATAAAAAGTAGTAACTCGAGCGATTCGAAAATTCTGTGGCAAAATAAACTTCTGTTTGATGCCAGGAGGGGGAGTTAATAAAACATTCTTTTGTCAACATAAAGCATATCGTTGAATTCTAGCAGATCATTTTTATTTTGAAAAAAACATTTGCGATCTAACGCGATTTGCGATTTAACGCGATCTATATAAAGAAAACTAAATGTAGGGCGATTCTGAAAATTGATAGAATAGATGAAGAACTAATGGAGAATTCAACTGAAATATTTTCGTTGAGGTGACATTTCAGGTTTCACATGAGGTGACGTCATATTTGTTATTTTTAATGGCACACCCTGTATTTTACCTCATTTTTTAATTCTTCCCATGATTTAGATTCTAACTCATGTATTATACCCTATATCCAAAATGAACCGTTTTCGAGTTATTCGAGTTTTTTAGAAAAAGTGACAGATGCAGCCTCTCGAACATATGTCATTTTCATGTAAATTAACAATTAAAAAAATATTCAACTAGTGAATCCTGATAATTGAATGTTGAACTGGTCAAGCTGAATAATCCACAGGGTGTGCAAACATTAGGGTCCAATAAGTGAAATTAAAAATCTCAACTTTTTCAAAAGGAAACCCCCATTTTTTTCCACAAGGTTCAATTCTATAATGAAAATAAGCCCTAGTTATGATACACTTCCCTATACCCAAAACATATGATTTTGGTGATATTCCGCAATAGAAGTTATTATCGCGCGAGGATTTACGTTTTCACCCCCCAATTTTGTCCGATAAAATTTCTTTGTTGCCTAGTTTCTACTGAGTATCTCATTAAAAATAATCTCATATTCAAGACAAAAATCATGATTAAAATAAACAACAATTTCAAATTTATTTTCAATGCTAAACAAGAACATGTGACACCTTGGTCAAACGCTTTTTTATTGCACTAGTTTTTGAAATGTACCTTGAAAGAATGAAATAAACAAATGCAACTAACAAAAATTTTATCATTAAATTATTTGCTGACAATATTGAGGAGTGTAAAATGTTCTCAAGATTTTCAGAAAGCTCAAGTTATTTTATTTTTTTATTGTTTGTATAATAAGGGTATTTTGTTTTAATTATTTTGATATTTCTACTTTCATATTCATTCACATACATTTGGATAATAGGTCATAAACCAATTTATTGAAATCCCTGGTACTGTTTTCAAAGTAAATATTTTCTTTAGCTTTCACATTTCCAAGTATTTTTCGATTTGAAAGAACGAAATTAACATATCAAGTACCTGAGTTGACGAATTCAGTAGTATTTTACCTAATTCCATATTTGAAATTTCCTCACATTGTTTCAATTTCTCTAAATGTACCTGTAGAAAAATATTAACGAAGAAAGTATCTAAGTTAATCAGGTCAATAGAACAGAAATCGGATTAAAAACGGAAATGCCCAGAATTTGTTCCATTTTCAAAATGAAAATGATTAAAGTTATAATATTTCGGATCAATTTAGTTTTAACATCCACCTTTGAATATGAATATTAGATTTGGCATTTGCTAAGCATGTTTTCAGAAGTACCTAAGTTGACGAATTCAATAGAACTATATCCAATCCATCTTTAAAATTCCCAAACATTGTTTCAATCTCTGTAAATGTACCTGCAGAAAAATATTAACAAAGAAAGTATCTAAGTTAATCAGGTCAATAGAACATAAATCGGATTGAAAACCGAAGTGCCCGGAATTTGTTTAATTTTCGAAATTGAAAATGATTAAAATTATAATAAATATTTTGGATTAATTTAGTCTCAACATCCACCTTTAAACATGAATATGAAATTTGGCATTTGCTAAGCGTGTTTTCAGAAGTATTAAAAAGTTCTACAATTGAGTTTTTCCACCAGGAATAATATTGTGGAGTATTGCATGAAGTACAGAAAAGAATCAAATGTTGGTATTATATATACCAGTTTCCATTTGTATCAAGAAAGTAATCAGTTTTATATTCCGCTATTTGTAATAATTACAATTTTTCTTTCATTGGTAGTTTGAAATTTTGAAATATAAGTTAATAAAATTCAAAATAACTCGTTAGGCAGAGCTCCGTCACGCTGAAACCCACTTTGAAAAAATCTACCATTTTTTTA